GTCCTGGGCCATCCTCGCCACCGTCGCCCTGCTCCCCTGCGCCTTCCTCAAGAGCCTGAAAGCCGTCTCCAAGTTCAGCTTGCTATGCACCATGGCCCACTTCGTCATCAACGTCCTGGTGATAGCCTACTGCCTCTCCAGAGCCAGGGACTGGGCCTGGGACAAGGTCAAGTTTTACATCGATGTCAAGAAGTTCCCCATCTCCATCGGGATTATCGTGTTCAGCTACACCTCGCAGATCTTTCTGCCATCCATGGAGGGGAGCATGTCGAAACCCAGCGACTTCCACTGCATGATGAACTGGACTCACATCGCTGCCTGTATCCTCAAGGGCCTGTTCGCCCTGGTGGCCTACTTGACCTGGGCTGATGCAACCAAGGAGGTCATCACAGACAACCTGCCCTCCACCATCAGAGCCGTCGTCAACATCTTTCTAGTGGCCAAAGCTTTGCTGTCGTATCCGCTGCCGTTTTTCGCTGCTGTCGAGGTTTTTGAGAAATCCTTTTTCCAGGACGGAGGACGTGCGACCTTTCCGAATTGCTACGGAGGCGATGGACGCATAAAACCCTGGGGACTCGCTCTCAGATGTACCCTTGTCGTGTTCACCTTGCTCATGGCGGTTTTTGTGCCACACTTCGCCCTCCTCATGGGCCTCACTGGCAGCCTGACAGGTGCAGGCCTGTGCTTTCTGCTCCCCAGCCTCTTCCACCTCAGGCTTCTATGGAGAAAGCTGCTATGGCACCAGGTTTTCTTTGATGTCGCCATCTTTGTAATAGGAGGTATATGCAGCATATCTGGTTTCATCCACTCAATGGAAGGGCTCATAGAGGCTTTCAAATATAACATAGAGGAGTAGACGCGAGCTATTGCTGGAACTAGATGTTAACTGCAAATCCCCGTTTAGTGAAAACAATTAAAAACACACGAGCCCCTCTGCTTAATTCATGCGTAAAAGCGCGCACAATACACTCGGACATCTTCATACAGTCTTGCATCAATTCAGAAAAAACGCGCGCTTACACACAGAAGTAGAGCCTGTGCAGTGAGGGAAACCAATGCATCCACAACACATTATATGGACAGTACATGTTGTATAAATATGCGTACAGACGTACATATACATATTTTCCAGTGGAGTGAACGTTTACAATATTGAAGTTAAACACAATTGCAAAAAGGGCAGTATGTCTTCATGACTTCACTTCATGTAACGCTACAGTTTGTGATGGATGGACTTTCGACAGCATAATGTGATATAAGATAAGTTCATTTAAAAGAATATAAAAGAAAAAACACTGAAATAGCACTTGCTTCTTTAGGTGATTTGCATTATGATTATGGGCAGTGAATGTGGTGTTAAATCCAGAAAGGCCTGTGGACACAGAAATAACACAATGGCAATAACCAGCAACCGATGATTGCTTTTAGAGATAACAGAAGTTTCGTTAGAAATGAGGACATTGGACCTTCCCCGAGCAGTTTAAAATATTGGAAATGCACGATATCAAAGTAAACAGCAGCTATATGAACTATGCATTGAATGTATTATATTTCAGACACACAAAAGCTTAATGAAACTGGGAAGTGTAAATTAAACAATCTCCAAATTGGTTTCTCCTGCCTGAAAGTGTAAATGCTTTGATATTTTTTTCTCCAATATTTGAAATGTTCTTTGATGAGCTTTTAAAATCGGCAATAACAAAATTCGCCTGACCTGTAATACACACCCATAGCCCTGAACTAAATTCTATAGATGGGGACCCCGAAATTCTGCACACTCAATTTACCATAATGCTTTTTTCCATTACATTTGAAAACTCATGGCCTGTTCTAAAGTTAATTTGATAGACTCTCGTCTAAAAAATTCGGTGTCTGAATCTGAAAAAAAATAGATAATTAAAAGGAAAATGTGCATAGCCTACAGACATTTTTCATTCTGTGCAATCCAATGGGTCCTGTGGAAATGTTATAAAACCGTGTGTGTAGTGTGTTATTGTGGTTTCAAAAAGATGGAATGTATATCTCAAAGTCGTTATCATATATCGTGAAATTAATATTAAAGAATAAACAAATAAGTGAAATTATATTGTAAAAATGTGTGTGGTTTTATGTAAAACGAAAAACGTTCAGAACATGTATTTTTTTTCTCTATAATAAAAGACAGAAAATGATGGAGAAAATAATCGCATTCATATTTGTCCAAAATAAATCTAAATTAATGTCTATTGACAGCGTAAAGGCTGCAGAGGCCTGGTGGCTTGGAGACAATAATTACCTGTGTTTGAGAGGGGGGGGGGGGGGCTGGTGTACAGGCTTACTCGAGCTTTTACAAATACTATCACATTTATTCTAGATATGTTCTACATGTTCAAGCTTTGTCTATGGAAGTTAAGAACAAATGGGCCTTGCCAAAATCATCTCGACAGATTTCCTGCTGCAGGCATGAATCCGGCTTTATGGTGGACCTGTTCGTCCACCGTGTTGATTTTCTGCGCAAAACATCTGGATAGAGCGATTATTCACTGAATGGGCTAATCCCCAGCTGTGGAAACAAATGGCTACCTGGTGCATATGCTCTGATGAAGACCACCCTAGCTTGAAAAGGGCCAGTTCACATGAAACTGCAGGGACAGAAAAGTGATGTTTCTCATGTGATCACCGGATTAACGGATGAAAAGCACAAGCAGCTGCCCCTTAAACACCATTTGAATAAAGCCCAAACATTTGTTCAATATTCTTAAAAAAAAAACGCCAATATAGAGAATTCAATTTTTCTGCGGACACACATCACTAGTCAGTATTTTCTATCAACTAGTCATAAAAACACACAAAGAGCAAAATCACGACTTTAATGAGACTGCTGAAATGACTGTCAAGTAATTGGATGAATTTGTTTCTAAAATCCTCTCGGTTTCTCTACACATGATGCCCGGAGAGCCTCCTAGTGGACAGGAGAGGTTATGCTTCAAAATTGAATAATTGCAGTCATTAAAAATGATAAATCACAAGGATTTTTGGTTTGAATAACTGGCCTTCAAGGCACGGTATCTCTCCCCTATTATACCTTTTTTCAACAATATATAATAAGTCTCATATACAATATGTCTCTGAAAAGGATCGAAATCCCAGATCGTGCGTAAACCCCTCGGTTTCAGCCTTTCTAAAGTGCTGATTCTGTATCTGTAATGCAAACGAACTGATCAGCTCATTTTCAGACAGGTTTTTATATAGATGGATCAGGACGAAAAGATAGGATATTTTTTCCTGAAACTTTCCGAAACTCTTTTAACAAAGGGGACACATTTATGTATAAAATACATGAAAAAGTTGATGTTGCACAATAGGTGACATTTAAAGGGGACCTATCATGTAAAATGCACCTTTGTACGTCTTTTATACATGAATATGTGTCCCCGTGTGCAAGGCCGGCCCTAGACTTTTGGGGGCCCTAAGCGAGCTTTGGCTTGTTAAGATATAAAGAAAGTATTGAGCCTTGTATCATGTTTTTTTTTTTGTTACTGCATTTAAATTCAGGTGTTGTTATGGCAACGTCAGTGGCCAAACAGCCACATTTACTGCAGCAAATATGTTCAAACATGCTGTCGACACGTAAAGCAGTGGCAACTATGCCACCATTTCAGCTGACTTTTTCTCAGAAATACTGTCACATAACATCCATATATTTCAGTGCTAGGTTGATGCTTAGCTAAGCTAACTATGAAACACTTTAATTGACAGGATTCAGGATCAACTGTGTACTTACTGTAAGGTAGCTTCTAGCTTCATGTCGAACAGTAAGTCAACATTTCCCAGAGAGCTTTCTTTGAAATCACCAGGTAACGCTAACATTACATTTAGATTGTATGGCAAAGTGTTTGTTTAATATATCTGGCTAGCTATAGCTACTTGCCAACGGTTTATTTTACTCCTGCGATTCAAAGTAACCTCAACGTAGCTGCAATTTCTCCTGGCTCAAGTGCTGGCTCTGGGGTTGTTGTTTGAACCATAGATATATATCTATAGTGTGAACCACCACTTGAGAATTGTCGTATTTTTTAAGAACAAATGTTCTTATGTCCATCTTCAAACAGTCTGAGACTGACAGTTTATTTTAAACATTGTCACAGCTCACAGCATAGGTACCTGTCAGCCAATAAGACAGATGTTTATTTCCATTCAACTCTCTGGTTGGTCTGGTGCCTTGCCTCTGTTGCATTCACTGAACACGGGAAATTACAATCCTGCCGTCCTCTCATGATGAGGTTCAGGTAAAGCACGGTTAATGTATTATATGATTGACTCAATAATATAATACATGACTTTGAGAGTAGGCAATCTAGGCATATTAACAAAATTAAACATACTTATCACGGCGACGGTGTACTGAGATAAAAAACGGTGTACAGTGATAAAAAAAACGTTTTGTCGCTTAATGGGTCGGGCCGTCTCTGCCGGTGTGTCAGGGAACTCACCAAGTGTCAGAAAACACAACCCTCTCTTTTCCTCCATACCCAAATCTCTAAAAACGGGGCTACAACGGATCTGATACAGATTAGAAATATCTCTGATGTCAGTGACGAGGAAGTCCGCCTATATGGCCAACTCTCCACCAATCAGGGAAATGAGAGGTTGCTGTGGCATGGTAACATGACGCTCGTAAATCGGCCCCCTCCTTTGCAGGGGGGCGTGGTCAGCTGCAGCTCATGCAAAGACAAGGTTGGAGGAGAGCAAAATGAGGCATGGCTAAAATGCATAATCTGTTTGGTATTTTGAAAAAGAAAACTTATAAATATACCTTATATAGGTATGGCCCTACAATATATTATTCAAATATAGCATGATAGGTCTCCTTTAAGTAACTGCCTCCAGTTAACATCCCAGTTGAGTCATCTATAAAAAGGACCCTAACCGTAATCTACATTGTAGTTTGCACATTTATTTCTAATTCAAGTTTATTGATAGTCTTTGTAATCCAGCAGTAAAAAAAACAAAACATGATACAAGGCTAAATACTTTCTTTATATCTTAACATTTTATTGTAGAAGAAATAATGTGTGAAACCAATTAATCAAAGGTGGGGTAGGTAAGTTTGAGAAACCGACTCGAGATACACTTGTTATATTCGATGGAATGCTCTTAACATGCCGATAGCAATGAATATCTGCTTTGACAAAAAAAATGTAATCTGTGGAAGCCGTAGTACTGTAAAAATCACGACCAATCATTTTAGCCGGCCCGGCTAAAATAACTGGATGGCCTACCTGCCTGTCAGCCTTCCATCTGTGCACAAACTTATCTCGTGCCCTCATTGGTCATGTGCACGTTCGTCTGTGTTGGAGGGGCTCTGTAAGGAAGTGGCAGATTTGTTCCGGCTGTGTATTTTCAAATTCTAGCACTCGAGCTGGTTTCTCCGAAATTACCTACCCTACCTTTAACTATGGATGTAATACTGACTGTTATCTGTAACGAGCTCCCAAGAGAACTCTAGTGGTATGCTGGCGCCCTCTGCTGGTCGCTCATTGGATATCAGTGCAAGTCTAGTTTTCCCAGTAATAAAGAAAATTAACAGAGCTTGAAATTCATTTAAGAGAAAACTAAAATACTTTTCACTAACAGACAAATGCTTAATTCCAAAGTGACATATTCCACTAAAGATAAGTTATCTTTTTATTTCAAGTAACGGCATTTTAGAAAAGCTTAACATTTTCATAATTACACAAATAAAAGTGAAATATTTACAGGCATAGAATTACATTCGAGACAAGGAAAGGAAGATAAAAAAGAGACAAGGAAGTGACTGCAGACAACATCAAAATGAAGTGATATTAAAGTTAATAGGGCAGATTCTGATAAATCAGCTGCACACTGGTGTTCATGTTTCACACCTTTGTTCAGCCTGTGTTCTGCTCTGCTGCGCCCCCACATACAAACCTCAGGTTTTGGGTGAAGGGACACAATGAGACTCAGAGGCCGGGCTCCTCGTGGCTAAGGGTTGTGGGTTTCTTGGTGGCGGTCTCCACCACCCAGGGGTGGGACAGGACTCCCTGGATGGGCAGTCTGTGCATGGGGTTGTGTTTCAGCAGCCGGGCCATCAGGTCTTTGGCTCCGGTACTGATGTCAGACTGTGCGGGGTAAGTGTACTCAACCTGGGTGACAAAGACAGAAATATTCGTACAAAGATTAAACATCGGGCTTGTACAGCATTTTAAGAGGATAATCAAGCACTTTCAAGGTACCTTAACCACAAAAAAAAAGAAAAAACTAAACTTTATCACCACATTTGAATAATTTCTATAAAATGCAACTACAAAATATAACGTTTACTGAATTCCTTTAAAGTCACAGAAATCAAGGTTTTTCTGCCACGTTGCAATCATTATTATTTAATGCTTAACTTGCTCTGGATCACGTAGTTTGAGATGCCAGGAGAAAACAAATAATATGACGAGGAGTATTAGTTTTAAAATGGTTGGTTTACAAGAGTGATCGTGTAGACCAGGGGTCTCCAACCTTTCTTCACCTGAGAGTACGGTTGGGAACCGAAACTCGGTTCCAGATGAGAACCGATAAAAAAATGCGGGGTACCCATACAAAATACACAATTTCGGTTCTGCTTAACGGTTCCTAAACGCGGTAGACCCTGTATTCCAACGGGTCCGTCTGCGCCGCGGTGGGATACAGGGTAAGGGCGGACTGGCCATCTGTGTGTTCTGGAGAATCACAGAACGGACGGTCGTCAGCGGGCCGTTGACGGCCGGCTCGGTTCGCTGACGGCCGGTGTTGTGTCAAATTATGCACCCCCGTCGTGAAATGCACCCCTTGACACGGGAACGTGCATTTGAAAGTATAGTCCGCTATTCTAGGTTGTCTTTTTGATGGTTGGGTTGTCGAATCCTGGATTTTGCATTCATTCGTCACTTATTTTTCAGTTTGTCTGTATACTTTTGCTTGTGCTTTACAATGTATCGTTTATTTTTACATCAAGTGCTTGAGGGTGGGATTAATATAATATTTTTTATTTTGGGTGGTGCTTTTTATGAACAGCCTTGTTGCCACGATATGCACCCCTTGCTATCTCTGACAATAAACATGTCACATACATGAAACTTGCTCCATTTATTGATACTGGTCCTACAACTATACCCTCCGAAGTGCTTGAGGGTGGGATTAATAGAAGCATATTTTTTTGGGGGGTGCTTTTTACGGCAGGCCAGGGGGAGCATAATTTGACAACACCGGCACCGCCCTTAATTTCTTAAAACGGCATCATGTAAGTTGTGCTGACAGTTCGCGAGCTCAGTCACTTCATAACACCAAAGATGGATTGCGGTAAATGCTCTAAAGTGAGGCTCCACTAAAAAAGAAAAAGACAAGGCACAGTGCAATGCCTGTTAATAGCTTGCCACAGGCATAGCTCGCCACAGGCATAGCTCAGTTAAAATAAAGCACAGCTATTGTACAATACATTTGTATTGCATGTATATTTTTTATATAAAAAGGTCGGTTAAAGCTTAAAAGAACAAAGATTTGTCATCTAAACGTTTGACCTCTTTTACAATTTTGGAATCGAAACAGGGAATCGATAAGAACCGGAATCCATAAGCAGAACCGGAATCGATACATTTCAAACGATACCCATCCCTACCTGAGAGCTACTTTGAAAAAATAAAAGTGGCCAAGAGCTACTTGCATCACATCGCTTACATTTATTCACATCTTCCTCATCAGTTGAATGAAGCTACTTGTTTACACGTGTGAAATTGCAATACCTAAAGTTTATCAAAAATCGTAACGACAATTTCTCACATTTTATTATGGCCCACATAATACGCTTCTACTGAAGCCTTCCGAGTAAATCGCCAGAACGCCGACACCTCCTCATCACTCCAATGTTTTTTTTTGTGTTGCCATAAGTTATTCTCTCTCCGTTGGTGCGTGGGGCTAATGCTAATAATGCTAATGCCACAAATACAATAGCGGCTTCACAAAACTTTTCAGAGTTTTACGGGGCGTGGTTTGTAATTCGCCCAGCCAATCAGAACCGGGGCACTTTTCCCTCCCGGGATAGTACCACCTCTCTAGCAGGAACTAAAAATGGGGGTAAAAGTTCCCGGCACTAAGTACTCTTTTAGGTGTGAATAAGGGGTACTAACGGAACTAAAGGGGAAAAGTACTCCGGTGTGAACGCGGCTATTGTGAGTACATCACCTTAATCACCACCTTACAAGCATCTTATGGCACATGTGTAAAATAAGTGACATTCACTCTTTTTCACAGTGAGTGAGATGAATGGCACTGCATGGAGTCCACCATAGAGGTGTATGCTGGAGTGTACCCACTTCAAGCTAATAGAGTCATTTAAATGTCCATCAGTCAGTCTTGTTCTGTATTTAAATTTCATGACATTCATGTCAGAAAAAGCTGCTTCACAAAGGTCTGTAGAGCCAAATAAAGCAGACGTGTTCAGTGCTGCTTGGTGAATGTTCTTATAGTTTTCTGGGTCTACAAGGTTCCAGAAATGTTGTGAGTGTTGCTGAGACTTAAGCTGAACATGATTTTGGAGATTTATAACCTCCATCTCCACAGGATTGACACTGAACAGTTCAGCCATCTTTTTCTTCTTCTTTGTGTTGACATTCAATTATAAACCATAATAAATCAATTGTATAGGTCTAGCCTCCCTATATCTGTGTGTGAAATTGTTCCATCCTCAAACTAAAAACTAATACTTCTGCAGTCTAGCTGCAGCTTCTAGCAACGGTCTTCTGTTAAAAAAAAAGGACACTGAAGGTCCTGAATGTGGCATCACAAACATGACTTGAGTCTGAACACAGCAGTCAACAGGAGTACAACAGCATTATAAAAACAAAAAATACTGCATGTGGGTGCACCAGGCTTGGATTTTCGTCATTTTAGGGGCAAGGCCATTTGGCCTTTGGTGTCACACATTTTTTCAGGGCGGAAAGGGCGGAAAATTAGGATTTAGAGCTTACAAATAAATAACTTTACTTTCTAATGACAAAAAACAAATAACTTTTTTAATATCAATAATCGTATCATCATATAGGCCTATGCCTCCTTAGTATTAACGTATCTAAAATGAAATACTTTACTTTGAATAATTAGTGTTAGATGTTTTCCATCTACTACTACTCCCATTCACTAATCCGAAATGAAATCTAAAAATAAAAAATTCTATTAATATGTAACAAATATATTCCATTTCAGAGCAGAAGAAACTGCCTTCAAGGGTCAAACTCTGCACATACATCATTCAGCAGTGCACAGTGAAGCTCCAACATCCAACTGTATGAACAAGCAATACTTTGAAATGCAAAAGAGTGCGTGTGTGTCTCTTTAATCAACTCCTCACAGCTCCTCATATCTGTTCAGAAACTGGACAAAAGTTAAAGATGTACAAACCACAGACTGTCATGACGAATACAGTCGCTGCTTTAATTCTGTCTTTAGGACGTTGTTGTGAGTTTAGACGGAGCAGCTACAACGTTAATTTAGCCTGATCGATCCAATCTCCATTCACAAAACACGCATTTTAAAAAGGTTTTTCGCCTGCCAAAGCATTAAAGCATGGTTTTTACTAACCGTTATCAGTATTTAGTTACTTCGGCATCATTTTGAAACGTGTATTACAATGAAATCACGATAAAATAGGTTAATTTGGTTTCCACCACAGTATTTACATGGAGATACGCCCCGCCCCCTCTCCAGCGCGTCCTGTTTGAATGACAGGAGTAAACACAGCTGACAGCCGCGGTGAAACTCCAGCGGTTAGAGCGATGCGAGTATTCGCATCGCGTCCGTTGTGAACGCAGCATAATGCAGTTCAGAAACCACTGTTCTGACGCTTTTAAAGCAACTTTTAACAGTGTGAGGGGCCCAAAGGCCATGGTGGCCGTAGGACGTACAATTATTTGTGGGGCATAACGGCCAGACCGAGGGGCTACGACGGCCATGGCCGCCGTGAAAATCCCACCCTGGGGTGCACACTTACATTCTCTGTCTTACTGTTACATAAATTCCATGAATGTATGAGATTAAGTTAGCTTCATCATATCTCAATCAGTGATTAAGTGAATAATAAAGGTTCTATCAGGTCACTCATTATTTACAGGGAGGGGCGGGGTTTGGAGGAACAGAGGAGACGGTGATCGCGGAACATCTCCTCCTGCATTCACAAACATATTTATCAACTTAAAATAGCAAGAGGACATTCATACTCTGCAATCCAAGACTTGATTAAATCCACCAAAAACCTGACATGACGATAGCGAGTGTTTTTCAAAAAACACAAATCCCTGTGTCTCTGAGCCGCAGCGACACGGACTGATTCAGAGCGGGTCATTCTGCTGTTGATTCTGGACTGGTGTTGATGGATAAAGCAGAAGCGAGCTACTGAAAATCTGCTCGCGAGCTACCGTGTTGGAGGCCCCTGGTGTAGACGAAACTTCTTATATGTTGAAAATAAAGCCATTTTCAAGGAGTATTGTTTTTTAGCTTTATATGCCTTACCAGTGTGAGAAAAAGTTTTTAGAGAGTACTTGTCCATGGACAAGTGAGTTTGGCAATTTACTTGTCCGAATAAATTTTTCACTTGTCCAGAATGGACAAAAATTGGGGCCACTGGAATCTTCTTCTTCGTCATGGTATTTTACATTTTCCCACGGTTTTTACGACACCGCTAACATAAGTGAGCGGTAAGATTTTACTGCATCACACATAGGGTTGGGTATCGTTTAGATTTTAACGATTCCGGTTCTGCTTTTCGATTCCGGTTATTTTCGGTTCTCGATTCCGGTTCTTTGAGAGGGTAAAAATAAGTCAAACTGGGAGAAAAATATATTTATGAAAACATTAAGTCAAATCTGTATTCCTATTTACAAATCACTTCATACTGTTTAATTTCTTACAGTTATTGAATACAATTATATAAAAATAATCTATGCATTGTTCAGTTAGTTCTAAGTGGTGCAGTTTGAGAATGTACAATTGGCCCAGTCTCCTCTGATGTTACACTGCAACCTGCCTGTGAGACAGAGTCCAACCACACATGTCCAACACGGACATAACCTAATAATAATAATAATACATTATATGTATAGCCTATAGGCCTAGCGCTTTTCTACAACTCAAAGACGCTTGCACATGTCCTGCAATACACATGCTGCAGCTGCCCAGCGGCTCACTGTTTGTAAAAGTAAATAAATAGTATTTTCATTTCAATAATGTAGTTACTTTCTATACCCTGCTTCATAAACAATACTGACATCCCTGCGCTCCTCCGAGTCTGGGGGTCCGGGGATGTGAGGACAGCGCGAGGACACAGACAGGGAGGCTGCTTCACTTCATAAAGGAAATGGCGGTCAATATTAACAACACAGGAGCTAAAACGCTTAATAACCATCATTACGTGTTAGAACATAAGAAAGTTTGACAAAGATGAGGCTGTTAAACGGGCAGCGGATCCGCTGTGTGTAGAGAGAGAGAGACGCTGAGCTGCACCGTGCAGCTGATACGGAGCATATGAGAGAGCTGCAGTCCGGGGCTCGGCCTCGCCTCCTGTCCTCACAACTCTTATTAATCCCGGTACCGGACAATTGTTATTTGTTCCTACTCGGAACCGAGTTTTGCTTCCCAACCCTGCCACTGTGCTACACTTCCCGCCCCGCCCCCGTCTAACTGTACAGAAAGCAGCGAGATGCATTTCCTTAGGAATCGACAAGCAGAACCGAAACTAACATTTCTAAACGAACAATGGCGGACACGTACAATTTGCGAATGAGTTCTGCCTTTTGTAAACTGAATGTATCAATAATTTGTCAATAAACGTCACTTGTCCATCGGACAAGTCAATTGACAGATCTACTTGTCCGATATTGTAAATAACACGTCCCGGACGGTGGGACGTGTACTTTTTCGCACACCGCTTACCCTTGAAATCTTGCGGTAGGTCTCTTCGTGACTTTTTGTCTCGAAGGGGGGCTTTCCAACCAGGAACTCGTAGCAAAGGACGCCCAGACTCCACAGGTCAACCTTTTCGTCATGAGTTTTCCCCTCAATCATCTCAGGAGGCAAGTAGTCCAGTGTTCCACACAGCGTAGATCTCCTGAAATAACAAAGTGAAATGCATGAAGTTAGTGTGTAAGCTCACAGTTTTTGTAGAAACAAAAAAGGTGTACCTGAGCATAGATACTGAAGCAAAACAAGTGAATTGCAAATGTAACAGAGCAATACACTTTGAGTTAACAGAGACCCAATTATACTTAATCTGTGAATCCCCATTCCCCAGCCGGCAGGGGAAAAAACGCATTACTGCAAGAAACAGCGTCTGAGGGCTTCTTAATATTTAAAAACGTATGAATGTGTCATACCCAAATAACGGGAAGAAACTCAGCTACCTGACGATACGAACAATTTTTACTGAAACAAAAAGTCTTGCAAGAAGCGTCTAAATGAGCCCCGAAGCTATCGCACTTAGCACAGAACTCAGCTTAAATGCCCTTATTACTTATCGTATCTGCAAAAACAAGATATCGATTAGCAAGCTGAGATTCCAGAAATGTTAGTATCATCCCCGGTTGATCCAAACTCACGACAGGGGAAGCGACACCAGACATCACAACGCGTAGCTTCACGGAGGAAGCTTCTTACCTTAATAATCAGTGTTGAGTGTAACGCGTTACAAAAGTAACGGAGTTACAGTAATATATTACTTTTTGCTGTAACGAAGTAATGTAACGCATTACTAATGAAATGTGGGTAATATATTACCCGTTACAATGCTCAGTAACAACACATTTTAACCCTAAATTAAATGGTGTTTTGTTTTTTAAGAATGTATAATGTCTCGCTATGTTAGTATACTAACATAGCGAGACATTCCGACACCAGAGACAAATTGTGCGGGTAGATTAGTAAACCTGGTGTTTACCCTTCAGGCTTTGCGTCGGGATCTTCGGGGGTGCATACTTAGGCATGCATTGCACCCCCAGTTGAATGTTATGCACCCTCTATTCAAAAAAGAGAACGGAGCGAAAAATACAAAGAAAAAATTGTGTCAGGTGCGCGTGACCTGCTCCGCTGCGCGTGCATCATTTCCAAAGTGCTTCCACAGCAGTGACACACATCTGTGGATAATCATTTATACGAAAATGGTTAAAGCAAACATCACTAAACGCCAGCAACACTGCATCTACTGCAGACAGTAGCAACATGTCAGATGGGGACATCACTTTACCCTCCGTTGTGGACACTAGCTTACTCCCGCCTGACTCGCCCCCGGAGCAGCAGTCTTTGTCGCCCGAAACTACGCCGCCCCTCTGCAGCCCGCAGGTGCCAGGATACCACGGCAAAACAGAGCCTGCCCAGGTCCAAACAAGTACCCGCCTGTACAGTGGGGTAAGGCGGTCATTTTGCAGCTCGTGGCATAAAAATAGACAATGGCTAGAATATTCATGTGAAAATAGTGCCATATTCTGCCATGCCTGTAGAAATGTTGGTCAAAAATAATGCATACAATAGCACAGATGCCTTCACCACGAATGGCTACAAAACTCTCATATCCCAAGCTTATCAACGAGCTAATGTTGCAGCTGTAATGTTCTCCAGGTCTCAAAGTCAACCTCACATGATGATGTGATCCCAGTTTTCAAGCACAGTAAATATTCTCTTCCCAGAGTATATGATGGGACCAAGGTGATGATTTAGTACATGGTTTTAATAATACTTTTACCTTTCAATGTTTGCCATTTCAAACCATGAGCTGGTTCAAATAATATGTGCCTTGATTTACATGTTCTCATTTATTTTATCAGTAGCTTTGAAGCTTTTGTGCTTTTCTTTGCCGTAGTCCACTTTGGACTATATGAAATATTTCAGGATTGCACTTTTAACTCACTTGAAATGTTCTCACTTGCTTGGTTTCAAAACATAACAAATGCCATAATCTGTTCATTGGGACCATCAATGCTATTTTTCATTGCTGTTGCCGGCCACTATTGCTCATGTAAACCTACTACTGCTGCGCCCCCTGTAACCTCAGAGGCACCCGAGTCATTTTGTTCTGGAACCGGGTCTGAACATGGCCATATACTAAACACACTACAGAGCCCATTCCGTGTCCTGTTAGTGTTTACTTCCTGTCTGCCTTCTTCTGGTGATTTATCTGACGTCCAGCGCTCCGTCTTTTAACCTCTTTTCCTTTCTCTTTCTTGATCTTCCTTAGCAACCTTCATTATAGTCCTTGACAGTGGTCTGTACTACTGTATTAACAACGTGTCACATGTTAAGAATTTACAATCAGAATTGAGTATTCAACTAAGCCGTGTAATACAAGTTGTTAGTAGTCTTAAGGGCCTACAGTTATGCTATACCACATTGCCCTTCACTGGATGTAGAATGAGCTGCACTAAACTACATTTCAGCATTTAAAATACCTAGCCATTCTTTTGCGGTTATTTTGGTGAAAGTAACTAAAAAGTAACTAAAGTAGTGTAACTCATTACATTTCAGAGACAGTAATATTGTAATGTAACTTATTACTTTAAAAAGACAGTAATAAGTAATATTACATTTTGGAAGTAACTTGCCCAACACTGTTATAATACTTTTTTTTTTGGGCACCTTTCATGACACCGTACAATTTGTTAAAAAAAGAAAAACGCTAATAGGCAACAGAACATGATAAAAACACAAACAGGAAATCATGGAGACAATCAAGTGGACACAAATGAAACATATAATGGGGAGCACTACAGTGAGTAGGCAGATTTGAACAGGTGGGTTTTTAAATTGGGATTTGAATATGGTGATTGTGTCTGACTGCTGGATGTGCGGGGGGAGGGAGTTCCAGAGTCCCCATGGTGACGAGGCGTGGGGACGGTTAGCAGACCAGCAGAGGGGGAGCGGAGGGAACGAGGGTGGGTGTACACCTGAAGAAGGTCAGCCAGATAGGGGGAGCCAGGTTATGTAGGGCATTGTAAGTGAGCAGTAGGTTTTTTTAAGTTAATACGGGATTGAACAGAGAGTCAGTGGAGTTGGATGAGGGTGATGTGTTCTGAGGCCTTGGTGCCGGTGATGATCTGGGCTGCAGAGTTCTGTATGATTTGTAGTTTATTGATGAGCTCGGTGGGTATGCCTGAGAGGATGGCGTTACAGTAGTCGATGCGGGACGTAACAAATGCAGGGTTTCTCACACAGATTATACTTGACAAGTATATTTTGCGACCCATTTAGGTTTCTTTTTTTCTATATAATTTTTTTTGTATTCGTCCGTGATCACGACGGCATCTGCGATCGATTAACTTGTGGCCAATGATCCCTCGCTCTACGCCTCCTGTACCAAGTCCCGGACTGGCCATCGGGAGAACCGGGGGGTTTCCCGATGGCCTGGCCTGTTAAGGCCATGATTTGGCCTGCCGACATGGCCACTGTCATACAGATCACAAATCAAAGCCCTCCGTGTGTCATTCAAGCTCGGGATAACCTCAGGTGAGGTAAAGGACTCTGAGTGTTTAGATAGTTAACTTAGTCTAAGTTCTCAGTGCGTCTCAAACGGTTTGGTCACCATTTATGTAAACACATATTTCCATTTGAGAGGGTAGTGATTAGTAAAATATGCATGAAAAAAAAAAAGTTAACTAGGTGAAAAAAGGTAAGATACACTTTTAAAACTTGTTGAGCTAAAACTAGTCTTTGCTGCCTCAAAGAGGAGAAGGGGGGAGAGGAGGGAGACAGGAGAGGCTGGTTCAGGAGCCCAGACACACTCACAACTATAAATGAACCAAAAATAAAACAAACAAGTTTCAGTGTTTTTTTCATATTGGAAATGGTATGTTATTGGTTATGGCCATGATTTTATGATTATTGAAATGTATACAGTTCTGTTTCATATGGGTGTCCCCCCTAGAGGATTTGAGGTCCACCCCCACTTAAAATCACATTGATAGGTTCCTAAATACATTTACTATTTGTTTAAATAGTAACCCTTGTCCATATGTTTATTTGTGGGTATTACCTGCCTGTACCCGTTTGCTCTGCCATCGCGTGAAGGGTCTGCTAACAAGCGACCAACAGAAAGGTCACTGTTGTTGCACGTCACCAATAAATAAAAGCACACATTTCTCACAAGCAAAAAAAAACCTCCTTAAAACAACAGTCAAGTGTCCATACAAAGACCCAGATGCCTCAACAGGCCATATCCAAATCTGTATTTCAAAGTTTTCGAGCAAGGAACACCAACATGTTTGCATTATCGGGCAAATGCATATTTGATTGTAAACTGTCGGGAAGGTGGGGGCTCTCCATCTCCAGCTGCCGTGTTTGCTACCAGCTTGGAAAACGGAATGGGGTGGTTGTGTTTTAGGTGTAGTTTAAAATGCGTGGTATATCAAGTCCGTAGGTTCGCCTTGTTGATTTGGCTTGAATCCAAAATACTGCCACACCGGAGAATCGAGATGTGTAGTTAAGTTTTGTAACCAATTCCATTTCACTTTATTTGTACAAAAGCATATGCACATACCTGGAGGAGGGTGTGTGAACCGACCAGCCAAAATCTGCGATCTTCAGTTCCCCGTTGGCCCCCAGCAACAGGTTCTCTGGTTTGATGTCCCGGTGGATCACCTTCTTGGAGTGGCAATAGTTGAGGGCATCAGCCAGCTCCATGATGTACTACAACAGCACATTAAGAATGGTTAATACAATGTCCGCACCCTCCTAAAAATGTTCAATAGAAAATAAACATCAAAACATTTTTTAAATGAGTATACACCTTATATGGACTTTAATCCTATACAAGCACGCATTTCACAAAAGTTCCAAAGTTGGCACTTACTGTGGCACTTTTGTCCTCAGGAAAGCATCCACAGCGCTGCAGCTCACTGTACAATTCACCCTTGGGTGCAAACTCCAGGATGAGATATACACGAGTCGAGTCATGGAAGTAACCGTAGAGGCGCAGAATATTGGGGTGCCTGCAGGAGGGCGAGATGGAGGAGTATTTAGAGAAATGTTGTTGAAGGACCCAAACAATATTTAAAAGAGAAAAGACAGAACTAAATTAAATCAAATGTCCCAGCAGCTGCTTTCAAGAGAAGGTCCACATAACAAGGATTTTAACAGCCTGGTTATCAAAATGCAATCATTCCCTGCGCTTACATTTTAAACAGAGACCAGATGAGGGTCAGGATGGCAAATTAAGCAGTGTTCACACTTGATAGTAAGGAGCTTGCTACAAACACATGCCATACAGGTTTAACATGGTCCTTTGACCAATTCAAAAGAGAGAAATGGCACACAGCAGGGTGCACCAACTATAGAAATAGAATGATTTAGTCCACTATAGCAGCCTGTCTTTAACTGTATGCGTACAGTTAGACATATGTGCATTATTCTCCAAACTGCTCATTATAGTTTGGCCAGTGATATTCTCTCTTAAAGATCAAATGCAAAGCTTCCAAATATGCTACATTTTTATAGAAATGTTTTTAAGACTGCCTGTATTTTTTTTTTATTGTATTTAAATCGAGATAATACACCAAAAAAAAAGCTTTTTATTGATCCAAAACTCGACCCAAAGCCGTCTGAATTTCTGACATGTAATTCCCAGCAGCCTCCGCGCGCGTGACGTAATAGTGGCCAAACAGTCTCTGGACCAAATATCCCGACTCGGCAGTCTCGGTCACATGTTTTTCTAAAAGAAAACTGAATTAACATGGGTTATTGTTATGCTTTTTGTTGTACGAACGGTGCGGGATCTGGGAGAGTTTTACATGCATTTCCCAAAGACCAAATCATCCACAAAAAATGGATTTTTTTAGTGAATCGTGTTGGATGGCAACCGACAAAATGGAGCAAGTTGTGTTCTGACCACTTCGCGTGTGATGCATACGACGTTGATCCTGCTATCATGAAGTCTGTTGGTGGAGAAGCATTAATAGCACGTCGGAGGCTGAAACCCGGAGCCGTCCCCTCCATATTTCAGCACAAGAAACCACTGAAAGAACGAAAGAGCCGGGCGATGCAGAAACGCCAAAGAATTGAGGTAAACAACTTTTGATTAGATTTCAAAGCGCACAGAGCACAGCAGATAACAGAATTGCAGCTTTATTGCTTATAGAGGTGGGCACCGTTAGATTCTGTGTCTTTACGATCATAAACAATGTGTTGGATGTGGAGCTAGGATAAGTAATAAGGGCGCTAGGAGTGATTTCGGTGCAGTAATAGGTTAGCATTTTTCGCTCGGGGCTAATACACTGTTAGCATTGTAGTTTATCTGCAGCTCATTCATCGCTCCTCCACTCATAACGGAAAAGTGTGAACAATATGCATTATGATAGGGATTAAATCCACTATTATTCCTCCTGGCCCAATTAAAAATGCCCCCCCCGCGCAATTAAAAGTGACTGTGAGCACTTAGAAAACCCAACATTCTTCTAACCACTTCATTAGGCCTATGCATCAAAAAAGCCCTCCGCCATGCTTTCATTTCTTTCAGCCGAGTGGGTGCTTATAGAGGTGGGCACCGTTAGATTCTGTGTCTTTACGATCATAAACAATGTGTTGGATGTGGAGCTAGGATAAGTAATAAGGGAGCTAGGAGTGATTTCGGTGCAGTAATCATATATATATATATATATATATATATATATATGCAGTTCGAATCCCGCCTCGGCCGCCACTGCGTCAGGCCGTTGTGTCCTTGGGCAAGACACTTTACCCGCATTTGCTCCTGTGGGTAATGTCCGCAGTAATGACTCTTACATGTCTAATATGTGTAATGTGTACTTGTAAAGCGCTTTGAGCACCTGTAAAAGCGCTCTAATAAAAATGTAATGCATTATTATTATTATTATAGTAATAGGTTAGCGTTTTTCGCTCGGAGCTAATTCAGAGTCTCACTGTTAGCATTGTGTTTGGTTGTGATGGTTCCCAAATTACCCAGTGGTGAGTCCGCCTGGACTTTATTTTTCTAAACCTCTCTAAAAAGGTCAAACGTCACTTGTTTTGCATCAATCTTGATACAGGGTACTTATTATATGTTATAGTTTGGATTCCTAAAGCTTTTAGTCTATAGTCTACTCAGAATCAGACATGATAACGAAACTAAGTTGTACTATCGGCGGAAGCAGTTGTGAGCGATAAGCCAAGGTTTGTTTGTTTGGCCACTGTGACGTCACGCGACGCCATCTTGCGGCGGAGCGGCTGAGAAAATAAATCGTCGGACTTGGTGTTGGGGGTTGAACAAAATAAATATTGCGCATTGCCAGACGCATATTATCTCCGATTTTAATACTGCAAGAATCTTAGATAGTGTTGTAGCTATATGATTTCGATTTGAATGGCAATTATAAAAAAAAACTTTGCATTTGATCTTTAATAAGCAAGTTTATCTTTTTCGCGATTCAGACATCTTTGAAATTAAATAATTTGTACCACCACTTTGTGTAACAGACAGGATTCATACTTGGCATCATATCACATCATTTGAATGACACATTACCTGAGGTGAGACTGGATCTCCACCTCCCTCCTCAGCTGGTGCTCAACCCCCGCCTTCTCAAGCTGCTTCTTGAAGAGCACCTTCAGGGCCAAGATGAACTTACTCTGTTGCTCTCTGGCGAGGTAGACATTGCCAAATTTACCCTTTCCTAAGGGACGGCCAATGTCAAAGTTCTCCAGGCTCCATCGGTGGCTGCAAGTAGAAATGTGCAGAGTTACAGACAACACGCAAATACTTTATGCATAAAATAAGTAATACAAGTATCATTTAATATACACCTATCTGTTGAAGAGGCTTTTGCAGAAACAATCTTGGGAGGTTTGGCTAAGAAAAAGACACAAAGAACACATTTTAGCATACAGAAAAACCGGATACAATATTGATTAGATTGTCCAATTTTATATTTGGCTTACTCTGTGGCTTCTCCAGCTTTGCCAGTTCCGATGGGGGTTTGGCTGGCTCTGGATTCACCTTGGGCACGATTGCCTTTGGTTGGATTTGCTGAGACACACGTTTGGGCTGCATTGCCCGACTTCTACTCTGAGTAGTAGGGGTCACATTCTGATCAGCGGGGTTTGTAGATTTGACAGCAACCGAGACATGAGATGCAGATTTCTGGTGGCTCATAGGACGCTGAATGCGCTGAGGTCCATTTGACAAGCCTAGAACTCGCTGATGTGGAGGTGGTGCGACTACAGACGCCTGAGACGGCTGTGACACGGGAATCCGCTTTGGACCATCCATGCTTGTCTGAAATCAGAGGAAATCACCAAACACTGTATAAACTGGCTTTAAAAAAAAGGATAGAATAATGAAAGCTCCATCTTCTCTACATGGGTTTGCACACAAATGAGTTCTACATTTGAAAAATACATGCGCTAATTGTGTTATAGCTGTAGTATTGACTCTGATTTTCACAACAAATTGAAGTTGAATTCATCCGTGAGTGTATTTTTTGTAGTCATGGTAAAATCGTACCTTCACTTCTGGCCTTTGGAGTTTCATGTCCGTTGTCATCTTTAGTCTGGCAGAAGAGTCCATATTCTAAGAAAAGGTAAAAGGGAGGTTATTTTTTACATTGTTCATCAAACAAGTCAGATAGTAAGTAGAGCTTCTAACAAAAAAAAAGCCTTTTATTTTCTGTGACTACATTCACTCACGTTACAATTAGTATTGGTGTAATTTCTTCAAGGTAATGTATTATCTGTTACTTATTATTTGAATACATATAAATGTAAAACATGTTGTTTTTTGTAAAAACTACACACTGCCGGTTATGGACAAAAAAGAAGATGTAACGTTAGCATTCTCCGCTTGTTGGCTAATGTTACCTAACCGTGTGAACGTTGAGTTCTGAGCTACTGTTAGCTTTTCGGTAACCATAGAATCAACAACATACATCACTTTCGACACTTATCATAGATAACATTACTTACCCGATTATGTTATTGCACAATGCCCGATAACTTATCCAGAATCCAAACTAAGAGTAAGCTAGCTCTCAAGCAGGTAGTTTCAACGTCAACCTCGCTAGCTAGCAGCTACGTCGGCCAGTTGACGAGAGCTCAAGGTTTGTGTCTACATAAATATACCACGAGATGGACAGTATACTAATCCTGTTAAAAGCCGGCTCGATGTTGTGAGGTGGTAAACACAGATAAAAAGGAATCAAACTGGAACCAAATCTTGCCAATATAATTAACAATGTGGCCGCTGGAAAACACTTCCCTCAAGCGCTACTAGTTTGATTTCAAACGTCCCTCGGTTCACAACCTTTAAATACATCCCGGCCTCCGATTGGCTGAGAGAATGCTCTGTGCTCGTTTTTCATTGGCTGGCGAGAAGGGTAGCGTGACGTCAGAGGGAAATCCTCCTGAACAGCAGAGGGCAGCAGCAGCCGACAGGGAAAAACTCTTTCTATATATAAATGGCGTGTCTTGATCGATTTCCGGGTCAAGTCCCGGAGGAAGTGAAGCGAGGAGTCGAGGAGGGGTATTGGGATGAAGCTTAAGTATCGAGGATAGGATTCGAGGAGGGGAAATTAGAGTATTGAGAAACCTCCTTTGATCGTGTTAATCATAGGAAGTTATTTGTTAAACTGAGTCAAAGAGGGGTGCCCAAATACATTGTGAGAATTCTGGTCTACTGGTATGGCCACCAGCAGGGGCGCCGCCAGGGATTTTGGGCCCCATGAAAATATATCACATTGGGCCCCACCACCAGGCACAGGCCACGCCAACCAAGCACAATGCTGTAACGGTAACCACACCTCCAGAACCCAACCGACTCATTTATGCTTTAAATAACTCCACCTGTACAGGCTTGCATCTATCTTGTAGTCCAATACTAACCACACAATATTTACTGACACTGAGCGGTGAAAATATAACACTGTGCAGACGTGCAACATTCTACTGCAGTAGAATTCACTATTTGATATAACACTAACATTCCTGACAATAGACCTCAATAGTCATCTTTTATGGTGTACATGCCTTTTTAATAACATTTTTGAATAGAACATTAAAAAATCTAAATAAATCTAACTTAAATATACATTAAATTAAAATAAAGTGAACATTAATACCAATATTTTCATTTATAAAATGCTATAACAAAAAAAAAAACATAAGCAGCAGATTTTTTAATTAAATATACATACCAACTACAAAATAAGCGGGTAGTGTAAATGGACAACAAAACGGAAATGGAAATGAAAAGGCCTGATGGTGGTGCTAAATCAGAGCCTATTACCTGTTCTTAGTCTTTTTCTCATCATGCATCTTGTGTGTAGTGATCCAATATCGTACCATAGCCTTGCCCTTTAACAGTTATTACGAGCCCTGGCTCAGCCTTACTCACCAAGAGCCCAGCGCCTAGCCTTCTTACAGGCAAAGTCACTGATCAAGTCCTTGAAGTCCAGCTTTCTAGCCAACTGGCTTTCAATGGACAGCATGGCAAGACTGCAAAGCCTTATGGGGGGACAGGGCTGCGGAGCCTAAAGATGGATCTGTTGGTCCTGGCACCAGGGGGAGGGACAACTGATTTAGTATGAATAGCTGCTAAAAATGTAACTGCATTTATTAAATGTCAGCTAAAAGAGGAGTGAAATGAAAAACCTCTGAATTTTCTGTGAAAATATTAACAGTACTTAAAGGTGGGGTAGGTAATTTTGGAAAAACCAGCTCGAGTGCGCTAGAATTTGAAAATACATAACCGGAAAAAATCTGCCACTTCCTTACAGAGCCCCTCCTCCAACACACACGAACGCACACATGACCAATGAGGGCACGAGATAAGTGTGTGCACAGATGGAAGGCTGACAGGCAGGAAGGCCATCCAGTTACTTTAGCCGGGCTGGCTCAAATGATTGGTCGTGCTTTTTACAGTACTACGGCTTCCACAGATGACATTTTTTATGGATTTTTTGTCAAAGTACTTAAGATATTTATTGCTATCGGGATGTTAAGAGCATTCCATGCAATATAACAAAAAGTGTATCTCGAGCCGGTTTCTCAAACTTACCTACCCCACCTTTAAGGTTGGGAAAACATTACAATTATTATTTACAAATTACAATGGACTACGCTTAGCTAACAGACTAATTTCCACCACTCATGGACCACACCCATCTTTTCTTTTGAAAAACTGGGTGACATACTGTCGCCCTTTAGTCCCTCTCTCTTGTCTTTCTCTCCTTTCTTTTCTTTCTTGAAAGGCTGACTTTGTTAGTCGTTGAGACATCGTACACACGTAAGTAGCTACTAGCATTCCTCCTCACATGCTCTCACTCTCTGCTAGAAAGTGCCGGTGTCACACAGCGTTTGGAGGCAGGACCAAACCATTAGATGTAAATAGAGAGGGGTGTTCGATGCTTTGGATAATTAACTTTTGGAAGAAAATAAGTTAAATGAATCGTAAGTTTAGTGAGTACATTATCAATATGAGGTCCTATTAATGTTAATTATTGATCATTGATGAAAGGTTACTTAAACATTTTGTTCTTAATGTTCTAAAAATGTTTGGGGCCCCTGTCAGTCACGGGCCCTAAGAATCGTCCTAACTTTTCACCCCCTTACGGCGCCCCTGGCCACCAGACTATGCAAGTCAAATGGGGCAATAGGGTCTCAGCCCCATTTGGGGTTAGCAATGGTGTCAGACAAGGTGGAATTATGTCCCCAGTTCTTTTAAACCTTTATATTGATGATCTGTCCAAGCGACTGAAAGCCTGTAATACTGGATGCATGATTGGTAGTACCCTAGTCTAGTGAACCATATTATGTATGCAGATGATCTTGTTGTGCTGAGTCCATCTAGCGCTGGTCTTCAGCAGCTTATTGCTGTTTGTTCTGTGTATGGTGTGGAACATGACATCAAATACAACGCCAGTAAGAGTGCTGTCATGATTTTTAGAACAAAAGAAGATAAATGTCTAAAATGTCCTGATTTTAAATTGTCTGATATTAATCTTAGTGTCTGTAATAAGTTAAAATATCTTGGACACTTTATTACAGAACAAATGACAGATGATGAAGATATTTATAGGCAATGCCGCATGATGTATGCACAAGCAAACATTCTCCTACGTAAGTTTAGTGCGTGTACAGATGGAGTGAAGATGTCTCTGTTCAGAGCATATTGTACACCGCTCATACTGCACATTTGTGGTCAAACTACAGAAAAGCAAGTTTACGGAAACTTCAAGTAGCTATAATGATGTCATGAGAATATTGCTGAAGAGACCTCGATGGTCTAGTGCAAGTGAAATGTTTGTGGCTGCAGGAGTCAATACTCTACAAGCTGTTTTAAGAAATATTATGTATAAATGTATTTGCCGGCTTAATGACTGATAATGAAATCCTCTTGGCCTTATCGAACATAAGGTATAGTACTACACGCTACCAATCGCAGCTGTGGAGACATTGGTATAGTTGTCTCTTTGTAGGACACTGATTTAAATTATTCTTAAACTATGAATTATTTTTATGCTGTGTATGTAATTTATTATATGTATGTAATGCCTTGTCTTTTATCTGGACCCTGAGTCTGTAATAAAGTTTTCATTCATTCATTCATGAAGCGCTACGTCATGAACGCAAGAAATCTACCCTCGTGGGGGCAAGCTCATGTGATTGGCTTAGAATTGAGGAGACATCTGAATGGCTATAGATAGAACAAATTACAAGTACGAATCGGCTGACCGTCAGGGGAGTCTCAAAAAACCCACACACGAATGCACAGCGATCCGTGTACAGAAAGCGGTTTGTGTTTGCAGGTTCAGGGGATTTAAACGGAAAACTAATATGTGAGGATCAAAAATACATATTCTTTCACACACACATACGGGTATTGGGCCGAGGGCGACACCGTACTTCCGGTATCTGCCGTTTTACGCGAGGTGCAAGCAGGCAGAGGGTTTAGCCGTACACCGTCTAGGTGTTGCTAAGCTTCCTGTACTGAATATCATAGTCTATTGCCTTAATCAATATCTAGTCAACTCTAAAATACCACATATATGCAATGGCATGATAATATTATTGTGACAAGTGGGGTATTCACCTGGTGTTTCCAGAAATTAGACGTAGATGCAGCCAAAATCGACGAAAGTCACTTTCGAGGGTCGTTTTTCCATACATCTGCAGGCAGTCTGTAAGGGCAATCTGACAACCCACACAGCTCTAGTTTACGCTGGTAACGACCTAGAGCACACCCCTCAAGTCCAGAGATGTAATCCGAAGACATGCAGCGATTTCTTCGGTCGTTAATTCAGAAAAAAAACCTAGTGCCCTCTGCCTGGCTACGTTAGCTAGCTGTTTATATTTGCACTTCCAGGATATTTGCACCTCCAGGAAAATGGCGTATTTATATATATATATATGGCACGTGTTGCATTGTGGGTAGCTCGTGACGTCACTGTGTGTGAAAGACATTCTTTCACACACAGTGACGTCACGAGCTGACAATGTACTTAACCCCAAATAAAAGAACCCAATACAAAGAGTTGTTAAATAATAGTGAAGTCACGTTGTAATAAAAATAACTCATCTCTCTCTCGTTTTATTTTTGAGCTTTGCTAAAAGCCACTGTGTCAAGTATCCATCTTGGGTTGCCGTCCGGAGTTGTCCAATATGGCGGACCATCTCGCACATGCGCAGTACCGATCGGGCAGGGTGACGGATCGGGTCGTGACAATGAGCAGGCTTGTTTGAGACGCGTTGCGGCTCGCCTCGAAAGTAGACGAGAATAGCCGATCGCAGCCGGGGGAGGTCTCAAAAAGCTTGCCTGAAGTCGGACAGCTCGGAGTCGGCTTCGTCTTCTTCTTCTCTCAGTTTTTTGGCGGATTGCAAACAGCTTGAAGGTGCATACTGCTGCCTCCGGAGTCGGCTTGACTCGGTTTGCATTTATAAAGAATGCACACATGTGTTTAATCGTTAATGTCAGATATGTACTAAGTAAATACATTTGTTCCTGCTCAAGATTAGATTCAACTTTATTGTTATTGCACATATTACAGGTACTGAGACAACGAAATGCAGTTTAGCTTCTAACCAGGTGCAACAAGCAGTAAAGTGAAAAGTAATGTACACAATCTACAGAATAAAATATAGAATGAATTGAATGATGAATAAACAGTGAGGGGTATGAATACACTAGATATACACAGCAGCCTGTGAGCAGTATGAACAGTGTGTATGAATATGCTAAGATATATAAAGTAAGAAAACGGTAAGCAGTGCAAGTATAGTATAAAATATATGGATATTAATTTAATGATGATA